TATACATATATTTTCTTTTCCTGACACACATCAGTATTTTTAAGTATGGATTTTTTAGCGTAATAATTTCTTTTCACCTTCTTTAAGTCTGTGGGGTATATTTGTGTGGGAAAATGAAACACTTAAGCGCTGCATTGTTTTTATGAAATTGAGTGAATGTGCTATCTATCAGTAATGAAGATGTAATCACTAAACAAGGACGAGGGTTTTTCAATTCATAAGGATATATTTTCTACTTGTGCAATACATTGGGGGTGTTTCGTCAAATGTTATTTTTATAATTGCCACGATATTTCTGTAAAACTAAGAAACACATGGCTTTGATTTTCGGATTAAAATCTAGCTAGCAGCAATTAACCAATGGAAGCATTCTTAACAGTAGTGGGCTACCTTGCTGTTTGTCTGTATTTATGTCTGTTATATTCGGTAGGGATCTTTTATGTATTTGATGCTTGTTATGTAGGACACCAAGCATAAAGAAAACTCGAAAACTGACTAATATTATATTTCTGGTAACTACAGATGTAGGAATGTAGAGCAAGCTCTGAAATCAGATCTATGCAAGCTATTGGCTCTTTAGTTCATTGGTGGTAGGGAATCTCCTTGAGTTCAGGGCTTTAAAGGATCAGAGCTGAAGACTTGAATCAAATTTCAGAAACCAGAACTTATATTTGTTACTGGTATAGAAAATGAATCATCCTGCTAGTTGTGCAGGCAGTTTAGAAATAAATTTTTTGTAAGGCTGTTACACCTGGCACTTAAAAAATTGCTTGACTGTACACAGATTAGATGAAATATCTCCTTTCTTATTCAAATTACTACAGATGGAGAATTTTTATTTCACTAGATTTTGAGAGTGAATCATTGGTTCTTTGGAGGAGTAAATAATTTAATAGAATCATAGAACGGATTAGGTTGGAAAGGACCTTAAAGCCCATCTAGTTCCAACCTCCTTGCCATGGGCAGGGACACCCTCTGCTAGAACAGGTTGCCCAAAGCCCCATCCAACCTGGCCTTGAACATTTCCAAGGATGGGGCATCCACAGCTTCTCTGGGCAACCTGTTCCAATGTCTCACCACCCTCACAGTGGAGAATTTCTTCCTAATATCTAATCTAAATCTCCCCTCTTTCAGCATAAGGTCATTACCCCTTGTCCTATCACTCTATGCCCTTGTAAACAGTCCCTCTCCAGCTTTCAGTACCTTTAGTTGCTGGAAGTCTGCAATAAGGTGTCTCTGGAGCCTTCTCTTCCCCAGGCTTAACAACCACAACTGTCTCAGCCTGTCTTCATGGGAGAGGTGCTCCAGCCCTCTGACCGACTTCATGGCCTCCTCCGGACTCGCTCCAACAGCTCGATGTCCTTCTTATGTTGAGAACCCCAGAGCTGGATGCAGTACACTGGGGAGGGTCTCATGAGAGCAGAGGGGCAGGATCACCTCCCTTGACCTGCTGGTCAAGCTGCTTTTGATGCAGCCCAGGACACGGTTGGCTTTCTGGGCTGTAAGCACACACTGCCGGCTCATGTTGAGCTTCTCATCAATCAGTACTCCCAAGTCCTTCTCCTCAGGGCTGCTTTCAATCCATTCTCTGCCCAGGCTGTGTTTGGGATTGCACTGACCCACATGCAGGACCTGGCACTTGGCCTTGTTGAACTTCGTGCGGTTCTCACGGGCCCACTTCTCCAGCCTGTTAAGGTCCCTCTGGATGGCATCCCTTCCCTCCACTGTGTCTACTGCACTGCACAGCTTGGTGTCGTTGATAAACTTCCTGAGGGTGCACTCGATCCCGCTGTCCACGTCTCTGACAAAGATGTTGAACAGCACTGGTCCCAATACCGACTCCTGAGGAATGCCACTCGACACTGATCTCCACTTGGACATCGAGCCATTGACCAGAACTCTCAATCTGAGTGCAACCACCCAGCCAATTCCTTATCCACCGAGTGGTCCATCCATCAAATCCATGTCTCTCCAGTTTAGAGAGAAGGATGTCATGCAGGACTGTGCCACATGCTTTGCACAAGTCCAGGTAGTTGCTCTTTCCTTACCTACCAACGCTGTAACCCCACTGTAGAAGGCCACCAAATTGTCGGGCACAATTTGCCCTTAGTGAAGCCAATGTCACCAATCATCTCCTTGTTTTCAATGTGCTTTAGCATAGCGTCCATAATCTTGTCAGGCACAGAGGTGAGACTGACCGGCCTGTAGTTCCCTGGGTCTTCCTTTTTCTCCCTTCTTAAAAATGGGGATTGTATTTCCTTTTTCTAGTCAGGGGGGACTGCACTAGAGTGCCACAACTTCTCAAATATGATGGAGAGTAGCTTAGCAACTTCATCCACCAGTTCCCTCAGGACACAGAGATGCACCTCATCAGGTCTCATGGACTTGTGCACCCTGATGTTTCTTAGATATTCTCAAACCTGATCTTCTCTTGCAGTGGGCGGTTCTGCATTCTCCCAGTCCCTGCCTTTGCCTTCTGCCACTTAGGCAGTGTGGTTAGAGCACTGGCTGATGAAGACCGAGGCAAAAGGCCTTGAGGACCTCCGCCTTTGCCATATCCTAGGTAATCGGGTCTCCTATTTCCTTCCGGAGAGGGCTCACATTTTCCCTAATCTTCCTTTTAATACGGATGTACTTACAGAAGCTTTGCTTGTTGCCTTTGATGTCCCTGGCCAGATTTAATTCTATCAGGGCTTTGGCTTTCCTAACCTGATCCCTGGCTGCTCAGACAGTTTCTCTGTATTCCTCCCAGGCTGCCTGCCCTTGCTTCCACCCTCTGTAGGCTTCCTTCTTATGTTTGAGTTTGCCCAGGAGCTCCTCGTTCATCCAAGCAGGCCTGTTGGACTTTTTACTTGACTTCCTCTTTGTTGGGATGCATTGCTCCTAAGCTTGGAGGATTGGTTATTTACTACTAATATATCCCTTATAAAAAGACTTTTTATCTGTTCATATATGCCTAGTATGGGTTTTATGATTATTTTTTTTAAAAAAACAATGTTTTATTCTTTTGTTCTTTTAGAATGAGAGGCTTCAAGCGTTGTTAGCAGATAACGAAAAGATGAATTTAGCAGATATGGAACTTATTCCACTTCCTCTGGAACCTCAGGTGAAAATTAAGGGGATAATCCCTGAAAAAGCCACACTTTTCAAGGTAAATGAGGTATTTTGAATAGCTGAAATACAAACAAATCTTATGAGCACTAAGCTTAGAAACATCAGTTGAAATTTTTAAAGGGGCTGATATAGTTGAGGCAAAATAGTTGCTCTTGAAGTGGTTAAACAATTCTTTATTTTCTTTGTGGAACTCTTTTTTTTTTTCAAGTTAATGTGCAAACTTTAAAGCAACTTTTATAAGACTGACAGTTTATAAAGTTTATGGAGTGCCCAAGCTGAAGGCATGCTTCCTAGTTCAGAATTTCTCTGAACTTTAGTTAGACTATGTTCAACAGGAATACCCCTTCTGATCAAAATCATACAAATCAAGACAGGTGTGCTGCATCTCTAGATGTATGCATCTATTCCATTGCAAAAGAAAACTGTTAAAGTGGTAGAGACTGGAAGGCAATAAAGTGGTCCATTTCATGCAGCTGCAGTTGGCTGACAGGTGGATCCTGTGTCCCTATGGTATGTAAGTCCTTAAACCAATCTGTAGCAGTTGCTTGTAATCATATGGACATCGTATACTGTTGAAGGGGCCAGGGTTATTTTGCTTCCTGTGCTACTTGGAACGTAAGTTATCTGTGTCCAGTCATGGACCTCTTTATAAATTTACTTTCAACTCATATAGATGATGGTTATCTAATTTTAAGATGACCAAAATGTGCCTTAAAAGTCAGACCTACGCCCAGAAGACATTCTCTGCCAGTTAAAAAATGTACAAGCTGCTGTGAAAACCAGTGTTAATTCATCATCTATACTAGGCCATAAATTTATTATGGCTAGTAGTTTCATACTTTGACAGGCTGCTTGTTGACTGTGTTATAATTTGTGTTTACTTAAAATCAGAGATGAATATTTTTGCACAGTTTTCTACCATACCATCTCCTAGTTTCCCAGCTTTGGCTTTATTCTTTGTATACCAGTTACTCTCTTTGAAGAGTACACTTCTTCAATTGCATGCTTTTGCACCTCACGTTGGAGGCAGTGTTGCAAAGATCTTGTCCTGAAAACAAAGTTTTGTAAGCTTGAGTCAACTTTTTAACATGAATAGGATTTAAGGGACAGAGGAAGAATGTTGACAAAAAGACTGATATTTCCTAGCCAGAATAGTAACTTAACTTGATTAGGACAAACTCAAGTCAGATGGTCTTTTACATATTGGTGTTCTGTAGCAATGTAGAAAATTTAGGACAAAAAATATGAGATGTAACTTGTTTCAGAAGCAGATATGGTTTGAATTCTCATGATTCTGAAAGGTTACAGATCTCCATTTAAAATCTCATTCTGTACTGTGGGATAAAAACTAAACAAACCGAAAGAGGGAAGAATGCTAATTTTTGGTGTTCTTGAACATTACATGGCAGCTTTAGTAGGACTACTAAAAGAATAATTTTTCCTTTATTTATGGAACTTAATTTGAAAACATTCATTGCATGTGAAAAATCTAATGTAACTGCTCAAATATTAAACTCTGTATCCTTGATTATTTTTTTGTTTTGGTTTTGAGGGAAGTGACTTGGTCAGTTGCAACAGATGAAATCATTCATGTAGGTAATTGATGCCCTTCAACCTATTTTATGCAGAGAAATTGCAAACAATTAAATTGTCTTTTGCAAACAACAATGTAAAAAGGCATTTTTGCTTTTACTAAATAGATTAAGGAAGCAATTAATTGTTTAAGATGTCTTGCCCCTAGCATTTCTTTGATGTTTATCCTATAATTGTGTCTCTCTTTGATCTGGTCAGTTTAAATTTGTTTTGTTGTGACCTTTTGCATAGTGCAAAAAGAATTATGTTGACTGGAATTACATGCATACAAACAAAACTTGAATCTTTTTGTCCTTTCCTCCTCTGCTGCTGGAGGGAGGGGTACAGGGAGAATGTATTCTTCACAGTCCTTGCTGTAAAAAGAAAAGCCTTAACGTATTTAAAAAAAAAAACCAAAAAACCCAAAAAATGTCCCCAAAGCATGCCTGGATCACACTTTTGATAACTGAAAATGGTATGTTCTAATTGTTTAGTCCTAGACAGTGAGTAACTGCTTTTAGAAGCTTTAGAATTGCTTCTTTTCTACCGAACTTGAGGAACATAAAAAGAGCTCTGGGTGCTCACCTCCGCACTGCTGGTATTCAAATGGGACTATTCTAAACCTTTTTGTAAGTGAATTTGATACTTGAATCCTGTGACCTCATACTTACTTAATTCACCTCTGATCTACAATGCAGTGAACCAAGACTTACATTTTAGAGCTCCACTGTAGCAACATGTTAATATGAGCATTGCTGTGAACCAGCTTAGTAGAGTAAGTTTCCTTTTCCAGAGTGCTTTAATGCCTGCTCAGTTATTCTTCAAGACAGAAGATGGAGGCAAATATCCTGTAATTTTTAAGCATGGCGATGACTTACGTCAAGATCAACTTATTCTTCAGATTATTTCACTCATGGATAAGGTGAGAATTATTAATCCGCATCCTTAGCCTTCTGTGTTCGTGATTTTCCTTGTCAAGAGCAAGACCATTAAAAACTTAATGCAGCTTATGTTGCTGATACATACCGTGGTTACCAGATCTTATGTGGCTTTTTGGTTTCCTTTATAGACATGCAGTGATCCTGTATAGACTTAAATAGAATCATAGAATCTTTAAGGTTGGAAAAGACCTCTAAGATCAAGTCCAACCGTTGACCCAACACCACCATGTCTACTAAACCGTGTCCTGAAGTGCCACGTCTACATGTTTTGTGAACACCTCCAGGGATGTTCCACCACCTCTCTGGCAGCCTGTTCCAATGCCTGACCACTCTTTTAGTGAAGAAATTTTTCCTAATACCCAATCTAAACCTCCCCTGCTGCAACTTGAGGACATTTCCTCTTGTCCTATCCCTTGTTACCTGGGAGAAGAGACTGACACCCACTTGGCTACAGCCTCTTTTCAGGTGGTTGTAGAGAGAAATAAGGTCTCCCCTCTGCCTCCTCTTCTCTAGGCTCAACAACCCCAGTTCCCTCAGCTGCTCCTCATCAGACTTGTGCTCCAGACCATTCACCAGCTTCATTGCCCTTCTCTGGACACGCTCCAGAACCTCAATGTTCTTCTGGAAGTGAGGGGCCCAAAACTGAGCCCAGCACTTGAGGTGTGGCCTCACCAGTGCTGAGCATAGGGTGACGATCACTGCCCTGGTCCTGCTGGCCACACTATTTCTGATACAAGCCAGGATACTGTTGGCCACCTGGGCATGCTGCTGGCTCCTGTTCAGCTGGCTGTCAACCAGCACCCCCAGGTCCTTTTCTGCTGGACAGCTTTCTACTCTTCCCCAAGCCTGTAGCATTCCCTGGGGTGGCTGTGACGCAAGTGCAGGACCCAGCACTTGGCTTTGTTGAACCTCATACGGTTGGTCTTGGCCCATCGATCCAGCCTGTCCAGATCCCTCTGCAGAGCCTTCCTACCCTCATTTATTAAATAAATAAATAAAATGGCAAGTAGGCTTTCACTCATTACTGATTTCAGTGAAGAACAGTGGAGGTCAATGTCCAATACACACTCCTTTTAGAAACAGAAACTGCCTTTCTAATTGCATTCATCTTTGCTTTTGTGTGTTGCTTTTTTCCAGCTGTTAAGAAAAGAGAATCTGGATTTGAAGCTGACACCCTATAAAGTGCTAGCAACTAGTACAAAACATGGTATGAATACTTGTATTTTGTAAAAATACACTATTGGGAGGAGTCTTCTTCTGTTCATGGACTGTTGTGACATACTATTTTCATGAGATGTTTTGCTTAGTACAGCATTCTCAAAAGCAGCTCAAATGTGTGAGAAAATCTAGTTGCAATGTAAGTCATGGAAGTAAAGAGGACTTATAAACAAGTACTGAGTGACTACTTTGCTCCATAGCTGACTCAGATGTCTTCATAAAAGCAGCTTGATCTGTATTTTGGAGTATGTGACAATCAATAGTGTTACCTTTGGTGCTAGCTTGCTGTGTGATCTCAGACAAAAAAAATTTAACACTCCTATTTACAGAACTTTGCATGAAATGGAGGCAAAAAAAAAGAAGTCAAAACAAAATCAAATTTGGCTATGCTTTTAGATACATTCTGGATAAATATTTAGAAACCCACTGATTTATCTTTCTCTTCTCATGAAAACTGGGAACAATGGATCTTTTGCAAGCTGATGTGGTATTAATGTCAAGTTGGCTTAAAACTATTGGAGGCAGAAACTTGGGACAAAATATGGGCCTGTTTTGCCAATGAGAAGCACTTGAATGAAAGTATGTTTTAGTGTTGCCTCTTAATAAACATGTGTTACACAGTAGCTTGAGAATTCTATGCATTGCTGACTTTTTTTTTTTGTTATTTCCTGTCATAGGTTTCATGCAGTTTATTCAGTCGGTACCAGTTGCAGAAGTTCTTGCTACTGAGGAAAGTATACAGGTATGTGATGGGAATTTTTAAGTCATCTTCTGAACAAACTGTAAATTGCAGGCTTAGATCTCATTCAAAAGTCATTTGTGTCTCAACTGATTTTTGCATCTGCTGTTAGAGGACAAATGATAGCTTGAAACGTAAGGATATTTACAGCAGATGTTTTGCTTTAAAAAAGTACACTTTAATCACCACATGAATAGCTCATGTCCTAAAAGTAATACCATTTAAATAAAGTGTAATTTAGTTGTGATACTGAAATTCTGGCATTGCTTTAATGATGAATGGAAGATGCATGATACTTTTCTGTATTGCTTTGTTTTAAAGTTTCTGTTGTTCACTAAGTACGTTTTGCTTGATATCTTGTCAAAGTATGTTTTTATTTATTTATTTTTTTAAAATGGAACAACTAAATAGTTTGTTCATATGATTTCTGAAGCCTCTTTAAAAAAGTGGATGTATAGATACTGTGTGATTTTATTTTTTTATTTTTTACCTTTTCTTTTAGCAAACTTTATGTAACTGTCATGGAATTGAGCAGGGACACGTAATTCAATAGTGACACAGAAAATTCATGCTAGTTTCAAGCACAGTACACAAAATAGGTAGCAGAGCTCAGCTGGTTGAGATAAATAAAGTTAGATAAAAACATACCAAATTGCCATGTAAGATATATAGCTAGTAAGGTTTTTAATGGAAGCACAGCATGTTTATGTTGGATTTGATCTGTCACAGTACCTTTTTTCCCTTTTTTGTAGTTGTGATACTGAAGTTTGCATTTGTTCATAGCTCAGTAACTGGGACCCAAAGCAAATAGCTCCCAGCTACTATAAACTACATATATTAAAAATACAGAGATTAAAAAATGGTTATCACTTGTCATTATCATTTACTTAACAAAAAAGCATATCAAATGCTTATCACTTTTTAAAAAAAAGCTTATCATTAATTAGACAATGACCAGTATCAAGTTGCATAAGGTTTTTTCTGTTCCATAAAGGTTGTGATAACCTACATCTACACATTCAATAATCGCACAGTTTATAATGTGGTTTTTTTGGCAATCCTTTGTAATCTTGAAATGTTGTATTCATTTTCTAGTTCATGACATGTTTTTTAAAATAATATATTTAGAAATGCTTGTGAAATTGTCATTTTGCGATTACTTATAACATATTCCAATCTAAAATAGGTGCCCCACCATTTTAGTTGCTGTGTTAGATGTAAGGAGCAATTCTTTCCTGTGAAGAATTGCTAATCTAAACAGACAAGATGCCAAAAGAATGTGATCTAAGATTACTTCACAGATCAATGGCAAAATACATTATATAGCCCAGATTTCCTGTGCCAAAGCATGATAAAATAGCTGGGCATTGTGGGCCAAGGAAATAAAAATGAAATGAACATTTTTAGGGGCTGTGAATGCTCGGTTTATTCTTTCTGTAATGTTCATTTTGGATGTCACAGCTGTTTTAATAAAGGTGAGCACTGCATGTAAACATTAAAAAATGTTTAATTTCTGAAAAGATTTAAAGCAAGTAATCTAATACTAGGTGGCAATGTAGATCTTCAGGAAAGAAAAGATGTTTTGATGTTTAAATGTTGCTTACCCTCTATCAACAATCTTAGAAATGCCTCCAAAACGTGAAATGTAATTTCGTTTCACGCTCTACAGTTGAGCATTTGGTCTGAAGTCTGGGCTTTTTGTTTAGGTTTTTGGTTTGGTTGGTTTTGGGTTTCGTTGTTTTGTTGTTGCATGCAGCATGTAAAATTTTTGGAGTACTGAAAGTAGATCTCTCTAGTTATTAATTAATAACTTTTCAATGCATTGTTAATTTTCTGAAGCTGTTAATAAAACTGCTTTTCAGGTTGAACTTCATCTGTTTCTCTTAAGAATGTGATGAGTAAGACAAAATAAATAAAGCGATATAAAATTAAATTAGATCTTATTAGGTTCTTTGGAAGTGGTTGTTAGTTTAATAGATTATAATAACAGCCATTTGTGGTGTTAATTTTAAATCCTTTTTTCTACTAGTTCTAAAGATCCTGTTTCAGATCATGTGAATAACTAAACATGTTGATGACTTCCCCTCCAGAACTTCTTCAGAAAACATGCACCTAGTGAGAATGGCCCTCATGGCATAAGTGCAGAGGTGATGGACACGTATGTTAAGAGCTGTGGTAGGTTACACTCTTACAGTTGGTAATTTCATATCTGGAGTATAAAGAACAAGGTAGATAAAGTATTAAGACATTTCAGTTTAGATGACTGTAGGTAGGGCACTATGCACATACTTGATGTTAGAATCTTTGTGAAAAGAATAGTTTTGAGCCTGGCATGTCACACAATTCTTCTCCTCAGCCCTCTTTTTGTTCTCCTTAAAGGAGACTGGAAGATAAATACTTTTTGCTTTTTAGCAATAATCTTACCTCTGCCCCGGCTGCATCTTCAATTGGGGTCTTTATAATTCAGGGGGATATCAAGCATTTATATAATAATAAATCATCTGTATTTGAGGTAGAAAATTTTAATGTTTTTAAAACATTGGGGGATTTGGGGTCTGAGACTACATTCAACTTCCTGTTCCATTTGGATGACAAGAAAAAGTGGTAGTGTAGTTCTTGTTTCAGTAAACTGATGGCAGCATTAAAATATCATATTTGCTGTCTATTAAATTAAAAGCAACTTCATTCAAAAAAACCCCGTAATTTAGTTGTTGCTCCACTGTATCTTCTTTCCCCTTCTTTTTCTGATAGTACAGTCTTTAGAACCGCTTCAAACTGGTTGGGGGGTAAAAGAATTAAGACAGTTTGCATTAGTTCTAATTTATTTATCACTGCCTGGCTTACTGCTTAGCTTGTAAATACTGCTGATGTATACTTGCAGATTCATGTCAACGTCTATGCTTGTTTACAGTTGTCCAAAAATCTTAAGTTCAAAATTTGTGCATTCATTTTGCTCAAAATACTTCATTTTCCTTTGAAGTCTCTTAATCTGAATACTGAAAGAATTTAGGCTTTTAGTATTAGGCATATAATTGTGCAGTAAGAAATGAAAATCTAGCCAGTACCGAATAAGCATCAGAGTTTTAATTTATTACTTCAAATGTTCTTCATACTCCTGATAATCTTGATTTTTCTTCCCCAGCACCACCCCCACCCACAGTCTATGGTATATTTATTACTTGTGAACAAGAGCTGAGATCATGTCATATGCTGTTGTTAATTGTGTGGAACTTGTTGCTCTCCAGGAAAGGTACTTATATTGATGTTTACAATTTACTTCTTACAGCTGGTTATTGTGTAATTACATACATCCTTGGAGTTGGAGATAGACATCTGGATAATCTTTTGCTAACAAAAACAGGTAATTCTTTTTAGCAGTATAATTTTATAACAACAGTTGTTTAATTTCTAATGTGTTGGTACTGTTTTGCTTCATTTTGCTTTTCAGTATAACCCACTGAAGATCATAGGTAAGAATATATTTTTAAATGTAAAGTTATATTGTCTTATCTAAGGTAATATTTGATCCAGTGAATCAAGTTCATTTTTAAACTATTAGTAGTGTGAAGTGGCAGTTCAACAGTGAGAAAGCAAGTAGATTAATTGCTCTCTGAACACATTAGTAGGCAAGATATAATGCGTATCTGATATGTGATTTTGATGTCAGTTTACGAGCAATTTATAATCTGTAGGTAATGGAAGTCTAACTTCACCTAAACACAGACATGTTTATAAACACTGGAGTTTTTGTAGGGTTTTCATTTGGTTTATTTTACAGTCCTGTGTTCTACTGCCATTTTTTTTACACTGAAAACTGGACTGGTACATTGTTTTTTGTTAAACTCAAGAATTTTTTTTGAAAATAGTGTGCACATAGTATAAGGTAAAATTTGACTGCCTTTACCTAGAGCCAAGAAACTTTTCACTGTTATCTTAAACTTGGCTAAAATCATAATCACCTTTTTCAAAACTCTTGGTCCCCAGATGAAAAAAAGGATCCATTTGAAATGATTTGTAAAGTGACTCCAATTTCAAGTATCCTAATTGTTTATTGACAAACCATTTAATTTTGCATTAAATTGCAGTATTCCTGTTTAGTAGCTTTTTTAAACCTGCTATCAGAAAGCAAATTCAAGATCTACTAAGTGGATACCAGTTCTATTTTAATAGTTATCAAATAATTCTGCTTTTATGCTATTCCAAATACAGTAGATGTTTAGTATTTTCAGTAGTCATATGGAATTAGGTAAAATCTTGATGACTTCACTGAGAAGTCCATGTGAATCCTTGTCTCAAATTTGCCGTTCTTTTAAACAGAGAAGTTCTGTGAGCTTTCCAGGTCTGTATGCTTTTCTAAGAAATTTACATATGTTTTAGAAGTGACAATGTCACACGTGACCTGACAGAGCAGGATTCAATTCAGCATTTTTCTGTTCCCTATGAATCTTGTGGTCTTTATGAAACCAAACCACTGTATAGCAAAAATCCAAATGCCTGAGCTGGCTGGATCATTCAGCTCCAGTTGAGATTATATGTATTTCTTTTAAGCCTTCTTTAAAAACAAAGAAGGAAATAGACTTTTTTAGTGTACTGCTGATTACAAATTTACAGCTGGGGAAGAGAAAATAGTAGAAATTACTGTTTAATCAAGTACATAATTTAGTTTGCAGCAAAACCTGTATATCTTGAAAGTTCAAAATAGCAGATGCACATGTAGATTTTCCCTAATTTGTTTTAACTTTTTTAATGTTATTTTTTGTTGCCATCTGTATAGATTAATAACAGACCAGGAGTAGTGAATAATTCTAGTGATTCGAAATAAATAGAAGATTTCTCTACTAGAGGAAATGAAAGATTTGAAAATTAAGTTACTTCATCTATTACAATCTCTGCCTTGGGGTGAAGGGAAATTCAAGTGTTTTAGTTGAAAATAAGTTGCACAAAGTTTTAACAAACAAAAACATTTATTGTAGGGGAAAATTTTTTTGAGTTTTTTGTTTGTTTATTGTGGGTTTGTTTAGGTTTTGCTTGCTTACTTTTGAACAGCAGCTTCCCATATGAGTTCTCATGCCTTGAATACCTTCATTATATAGTGATGAAGAGTTAGGAGTGGTGGTGAAGTATTTATTATAAAGTGAAATGTTTATTGAATTGAGAAGCATGTAAATAAAAAAAACATATTTGGGGAAAAGAGACACATCCACGCGGAAGGCTTGTTAGTTTAGAGATAAAGCTGAAGCATATATTACTTTGAATCAGTATACTCTGTGTGAAAGAGTAGGAAATTAACCATTGGGCCTTGACTAAGGTAAAAGGTCTTGGTCTAAGCACATGAAGGAACAACTAATGCAAGTGTATTTTTCCTTATCTGCCCGGAAAAGAACACATAGGCATTTAAAAATCTGTCTTGAGAGGTCTCTATCATTTGTCTAAGGTGATGGGTATAAATCTTTACATAGCAGGTACTGCTTACATGCTCAGAATAGTGATATTTTAGTGTTTTGATTTGGGGTAAAGTGCATCTTACCTGTCTGTGTTAAAAAGTAACAGCACAATGGCAGTTTGGTTTAGTGGAAGAATTTAAGCAGTACAGCAGAGGGCAGCGCACATCCATGATGCATTCTGAGTCTGAAATTGTTTTCTTCTGCTACCTATGATTTGTCACGTACTGAGAGGGGTTTTTTTCCAAGAGAAAGTTCTTATGTTCCAAAAACAGCAAAGGTTTGTTTCTTGCTATCAAGTATCCCTTAGACTTAAGTTGGAAAAAGTTAACTTCATTCTTCTCTTGAGAATGGAAGCTGTAAGTACCTTTCTTCAAAATTATATGACCGTATATGCATCCTGTCTTGATGATATTTATTTAATGAATTGAAGTTTTCCAATAGGGTTAAGAATGCAGAGTACCAGCTGTGGGTTCTCATACTATTTTTGAATTTATATGGCAGTATATATCATTGCCTTTTTCAGCTCTACCCGTTAATTTGGTAGATGCAGCCACATCTGTGTTGGAGACCTTCCAATAGAATCATTGCATCATCTGCTAACATATATACGTCTATGCTTGTAATAGACATAGTATAATTTAAATATTAAGCAATAGATACTGAAGTTCATAAAAATAAATTGTTTCCCACTCAGTGTTAGAAATGTGCTATAGGATGAGAATGTCTGGTGAAATAATTTCTGCTGTATTTCACAACTGTTTTATTCCTCTAATTGTAGAAATAGGATGACTTTTTAAAGTAGTTTTAAACAATGAATCTAGATTTTCAGATGTTTAAATGCTGTATCATATTTCAAGGGCAGCTGTAGATGTTCGTTTGGAAAGAGATACAGGAAACAATCAGTTAAAATATCCTCATCTATCAGTAATGTTACAAATTACAAGAATACTTGCATCAGTTTCACTAATGTGCCTTAGCTTGCAACCTGAATGTCACGTTACATAGTCAGTATTGTGTTACAGGAATACCTGTTTTCTTTGAGAACTTTAGGTTTCATACTTCTGGAGTTGGAATCTGTTATCAATTATTGTATGTTTTAATTTCTTGTTTCCAGATCTCTAACAACAGATACTACGGTGACTTGTAAATAACAAGACACTGTTTTGCAGCTGAATACTCAGCTGTAAGTAACATCAGTGCCTTGTAGGATTACAGACTGATTTATATATTAATGCCAGTATCTGACTTACCAGCGAATGTGCCCTTTGTTGCCTTGGAAGGAAGAGCAGGTTGTGAAGCTGGATTGTGATATACCAAATGTAGAACGTTCAGTTAACTTTCATGTAATATGCATGTATGTTTCAATTATGTCATGCCTTCCCTTGAAAACACTTTATTCTGAATTTGTTCCACTGTTTTTGATTGTGGAGTTGGGATCTAGCTACCAATGTAACATCCAGATAGGCATGTCTTCATGTTTGCTAAGCCTTTTAAAGTCTTAAGACAGTCAGTACGGTCATCATTAGAGCTTTGATAGTGTTTCAGCTATGATAGACAATTGAAGTCTGCAGTCCCACGTGAGATACCTTAATAGTTTTAACTTGTTTTATAGACAGGCAGGGATTTCACAAAGGTTCTGTTGTATTTGCAGGCTATATGTAGGTATTTTAGGATATCCTGAGACATTCAGATGGCATTCTTGAGTAGCACTGCATGTGCGTGTCAGTGCAACTAGTTCTCACCCAGCTTAATCTTTCAATAACCTTTACAGACTCATGTGTAAAACCAAGTTCCCATTATAGGTTCTCTAAATACAGGCACTTATCTGACCTCTACACCTGAAATTGGTCTGTAGCAGTAAAATGACTTGCTAGGTGGATAAAATTAAGTTTATTAATATCTGAGGGTAGGTCAAAGACTGAGGGCTTAGAACTTGAAAACCACATTTACTTTTAGCGTCATGTGTAAGTAGATGAAAGAACTGGATTGTTGTCTTATTTAATGCTTACGGGTAGGGCTGTGGTCTGTCTTCAGTGTAAAGTGCACCAGTTGACATCCAGGCAAGACAGAAAAGATCTGAACAGTTCCATATATGAGATGACACCATGTGTTTGTACGTTCAGTGCTTTTCAGTTCAAACCTGCTTTGGGATAGATGGTTTTAAGATGACAAAAATGGAATAACTATAGGATTCAAACCTTCTTCTGTGTCAGTGCTTAAAAAAATACATTGATGAATATGTTTATTAATGTTGTAAACTACTGTAGTATGTGAAATACAGTGGAATTTTTAAATACATTTTAAGTGTTACTAGTCTTGATAGCGGAACGTCCTTTTTGAAAAAACAAACCAAAAAACCCACCACCAAACCTAACATACACTGTTTAGATTTCTCTTTGCAACTCCAATTGCTATCATGCCTACCAAGGAGCACGTAAACTTTTAGCTGTTAGTCTCCTAAAATACTTTCTTTTTTAGGTGTCTTGAACGGTATTTCTCATGTAACAATACATATCTGACTTTTTTTCCTATAATATGCCTGCATAGAGTGTATTTTGAGAATGGACAGCTTGAGGTGTGGGGGTGTGGGGAAATTACAATGCTTAGCACAAGCTGGGCCCTTATCTGTTGTGTGGATGACAGTGATAAACTTTACCTCCAGCTGTTGCTGCACACTGAGTTTAAAAGCTGTATCCTGGTTAAGTACTTAACAATTCATACTAATTTCTTCCATTTCTGTGCAGTCTTGGAAAAGTTATAACATGTAGCTGATTAAAATGATGACAATAAATCAAGCATTCTGATTATTATTTTCTTTTTGTCATGGCAGTGGTCTGATAGCAAAGGAGAAATTTTGATGGTAAGATCAGAACTTGCTGAGAAAGCCGGGAAACCACCCTGTCCATCCACACACTTTCATCAGAGGATTTTTTTTATCCTATTACTTCAAAATTAAAATAGGGATTCAGTTAAAATAGTCACTGAATTGTACTTTTTTTGTACAAGTCAAGTTAAAATAATAGTGGCAGTTGCAGTTTACAGAAAATATATTGAAATTCAGACCCTAGGGGATTTTGTATTTTGTTTGGGTGGTTTTTTCCACTCTTCCCAAAAGTGGGAACAAGTAAGTTCAGAGTGATTTGTAAAGTTTTCTTCTTGCCTGTTAGAAGACATTTGCCACCAGACTTTATTTTAATAACTGCATTTAATTTGCTTTGCCTTCCACATTTTGTTTAAGGATTTCAGAGTTCTGTGCAGGTTTTCCAAAGCTTTTCCTAACAGTCCTCTGGTGAAATAAAACAATTTCTGTGCTGCTATATGGGAACTTTCTCCTGTACTAGAATCTAGGCATTAACAGTAAAAGTGATGGGCAAAACAGCCTGTCCGGCTTCAGTCAGATATTATTGGCTATTGCAAGCACCAGATACCAATTTTTAGTCTCCATAGGTCCATGCTTCACTTAATCAAAGATCACTTCACTCTCAAGGCTGAAAGGAACTCAGATGGACTTTCAAATCCCTCATGCCCTGACTCCTAGTCAAGGAGACTTTCCACATTTGATGCCATTTCCTTGAGCTCCCCAAGGGCCTGGTCTTCATTGCATGTGTTAGAAAACCAGGTGTTCAGTAGAAAAATGTAGTCAACCTCATTATTTATTTATTTATTTTTTAAAAAAGCTTAAAAGTACACAACAATATCAGCTTTTAGGTTTTGAACTAAACAATTTTGGGTGTGCATGCTGCATTGTTGCATATGCCTGGAAATGTCTCATCCTCTTCCTGTCAGTAAATGTCTTGTGTCTTGCTTTTCCTACAGTAAAATAGCTGGAATAGGGAATGGAGAGTGCTTATTAGGCCACTGTTTTTTAAGGTGAGAGACTCAATTTGAAGTCTTCCCAGCAGAGATTTTTCCTGTTTCCTGAGAAGGTGCTAGTGTCGTATTTTAGATTTTGAGGAGTGAGCCACTTTCAACATCAGAAATACTTGTCTAAAGCTGTGGATCTTGCACTATAAGTGAGTGCCTACATGTAGACCTGCTCCTAGCCTTGAAGCAGGGCAGGAGGTTCGTGCATACTTGTTTATGGTCTCAAGATGTTTCCCGAATTATGTTTTCATTTCTCAGATACCTAAAATCTCCCATTTTTGTAAGGAACTCAGATTTCTAAGTAGCGGTCTAAAGGTTTCAGTGTCTAAGTATTAGAAATTCAAGGCCTTTATATCTAGCCTTACAAGAATGTAATAGTCTCAGAGGATGAAATGTATTTCACCTGTTGTCTTAAGTAACTTCGCTTTTAGTTTGAAACACAACTCAAGCAAAACACTCTTACCCATATGATTTAGCATTCAGGAACAGTAATAAACCAAAATAAGAAATCCCGTCTTGTCTTTTAATTTATAAGCACATCTAATAATTAAGAGCCCGTTAAATTAGGATGTAATAAATCTGAAGGAGTTGGATTAGAAGCTGAGGTTAAAAACATGATGGTATGAGAGATGGAAGTGTATGTGTTATGGAACTGACACTGTATATTGAAGAAAGGAAATGTAATTGTTTTATAAAACATGGAAGTTCAAAGCCTTTAGAAAAAGTAGTGTTACACAAAGTTCACAAGCAGTCTAATTTACCGGGAGGATAGATTATAATTGTCTATAAATGCCATGCTATGACTATGAATTATTACTCATAGTGAGGGTGCCAGAGCACTGCCCCAAGTTGCCCAGAGAGGTCATGGAGTCTCCTTCCTTGGAGATTCTCTCAAACCATCGTATTAAATACACAACCAATTTAATTTGTCCAAACCAGGCTTATTCTTCACCTGTTCCAATAGTAGATAAGTCCTCGAGGAGAACACAAGTCAGGCTTCTCTGTAGAAAGCTCTAAAACTTCAGTACTCCCTCGAACTGGCTTGGTTCGTCTTTACTGCTGTAGCGGCTTCAGAGAAGCACCAAGGGGAGCCTTCTGCCCATATTCTGTAATATGGTATGCTGGCTTAATTGATCTTGGAGGAGCTATCACGAATGAAAATGAGTGAAGTCTGTGTTTAATACATGGATTTGAAGAATATGAAATATATTTAATGTATTTAAATTAAAGCTTTTGACATATATTTTGGGTCAGCATAAAAATCTGCTGAATTTTGAAATACAGCTAGGGAAGCTATGTTAATGCAGGATGGCCTCATCTTGTACTTTCTTTCATACTTAATTCTAAAAGTTAGTAAATAAACTATTTGATATCTAATTTATATGAACATATATTAGTCAGGTATTCAAATGTTTTAGATGCATCTTTGTTACGAATTTAAGTTATTAATTCTTGCCTCTTATTCCCTATCTCCAGAGCAAACTAAAAAGGAAAGATTTAATTACTGCCAGAAGAGTTAGTGTTTTATTAAAAATGTTGTCTCTTGACTCTTCAAGGTGACAGGTTTGAAAAAGTGAACAAAAACCAGAACCCTCAAACATTTTTTGTAACTTCATGGGGTGTGTAGGTGTATATATCAAAGTGTTTACTTCAAAAACTTAGTGTGCAAAAATGAGCTCCGAAAGTAACTCCTGTAACAGCTTGAATAAACTATTGAAGGAAGGGAGGTGGGGTTTTTTGGTTTTGATTTTTTTTTTTTAAAGCAAAATTAAGTATGCAAAATATAATGGTTGTGGCATTTATCAACTAACAAATACTTTGTCTGCTTATTAAGCATCCTTGTGAACTCCCTTGGAAAATAGACTGTGATAGAATCTGTTTCTTGGTTTGAAGAGTGTTTATGACAGATCTCAAGCAGCCTTATCTGATGGTGGAACATTATTATTCAATGAAATGGTCAAAGAGGAGTGACTAATTGAAAAATACTGTCTGCTCCATTTTTTTTTAAGAGTGAGCACCTAAGCTTATGAAAATACGAAAATGAATACAGATACTGCAGATTAAAATACTTCTTGGCAAACAGATCTCTGTCCATAATGCTGTTCAGTTTCTTAATTGTGAAGCAAGACTTTCTGTATATTCTGTGCTACCTGTGACTGTCTAGATAACAATCATGCTAATAATTTTCCTAGAATCATAGAGTGGGTTGGGTTGGAAGGGACCTCAAAGATCATCTAGTTAGAACTCCCCTGCCATGGGCAGGGACACCCTCCACTAGACCAGATTGCCGAAAGCCCCATCCAACCTGGCCTTGAGCATTTCCAGGGAGGAGACATCCACAGCTTCTCTGGGCAACCTGTGCCAGTGTCCCACCACCCTCACAGGGGAGAATTTCTTTCTAACATCTAATCTAAATTGACCCTCCTTCAGCTTAAGGCCATTCCCCCTTGTCCTGTCACTCCGTGCCCTTGTAAAGAGTCCCTCTCCAGCTTTTCCGTAGACCTCCTTCAAGTACTGGAAGGCCACTATAAGGAATATATATTTTCTGTCTTCTAGTTTAGAAGATATTTCATCTTCTAATATACATTTTATTGTCTTGTATAAATTAGTCATATAAGAAATTTATTGCTGTCTGTGGGTAGTTTTGCTTTGGATGCAAAACTTAACTTAGCTAACAGTTCAAACACACATCACCTTTTTGTACTACTTAATTTACTTTCTGACTCAGTATTACTGCAGACTTCAGGAAGATGGTTTCTCTCTGTCCTAAGGAAATCACTTAACAGATTTCATTTGTATGTTCATTTTTATTTTTTTTATATAAATGTTTCTTGGCATATCTGAGTTCTTACCATCAACTGATATAATTCTCACATTTTAGTACTGAAAAAGTGTAAGACTTTGGCACATTTGAAATACAATTCAGATAGGGAACTGTAATGATGTTTCTTCAGTGTGTTTGAAAACTGTTGATAAATTTTAACCTTACTCAAACAACTTTTGAATAATTTTAAACCAGCTTTGAAATCTTCGGTATTTTGTGGCTTCAGAAGGTCTTTCTTGGGATCGTAGTTTTGTTTTCCCTTTAGTAAATTGAACGTACAACTAAAATAACGTATTTGATACCACAGCAATCAAATGGGATACTAAAAGCAATGCAGTGTGTGGATTAATATCTTAATTTGCTAATAAATTCAAAAGAAGGTTCAAAGAATTAGTAGTATCTGTTACAACTGTGCATTTAATACCTACTGACCAGTTTCAACATTGATTGTCTTTGTGAATATACTCCAGGTGGGTTTTGGGTTCTTTTTTAAAAAAAGGGGCAAAAAACTCATCTTGTTAATACTCTAAATGAATTTGAAACCAGCTTTAATTTTTTAAACCTAGAATTTCAAATGAGCAGCTGAAGATATAAAATATATGGTTATAAGCCTTACAGAAAACAGTGAATTGTATTTTTTGAGCGCCACTTATCATTTTCTAGAGATTGCACTTAAAGATCTTTTTTTTTTCTGAGTTTTACATCAAGATTTGATACTATGTGAAGTGTTGAAATAGTAATTAATGTTTGCCTTTCCTTCTTCTACAGGTAAACTATTTCACATTGACTTTGGCTATATTTTGGGTCGAGACCCTAAGCCTCTACCTCCCCCAATGAAGCTGAATAAAGAGATGGTGGAAGGTATGGGAGGCACGCAGAGCGAACAGTACCAGGAATTCCGTAAGCAGTGCTACACAGCCTTTCTCCATCTCCGCAGGTAACAATACTATTTTGATGCTAAAATTTCTTAGAGCCACCATAAAGCAGGAGAGGAGTAAATAAATCATAGAAAATATTTGTGTTGAAAATTCAAAACTTTTTTGAAGTCTGAACGTAGACACAAGAATTTATACACAACAGAGGAATGAAAACATCACAGCATTGGTGTAATGTGGCACTTGATTGTTAATAGTCCTTTGGGTTAAGGTCCTCAGTTTTGCTTGTTTCATAACCTAAATAGCTTTTTTCATAACTCCTATAGGGTGTTGATACATATCACATATCTTGCTTTTTTGGATATGTTTTTGTCCTTAAGCAACTTTTTCTCTGATTATTGATGATCAGTTAGCTGTCCTTTTAACTTGTAAGTCATTACTTATTTGCTGCTTTATCCTCCTCCAGTTTACATTAGCGATGGTCACATTCTTTGGCTTGAAGATGCCATAAGTAAGCTTAGTTGGGTTCAGGTCCTGCAGGAGAGAAATTGTCACTACAAGCAGCTAATTGTGTTAGCGGAAGATACTCAGAAGTGTGACAGCTAAAACCTCTTTAGACTCTATTTATGGACCAGCAGATCTTTCCTGTAGAGGTGGCATCAGCTTCCTTCTTTTGCAGTGACCATATCGCTTACCATCAACCTACTGAGCCAAGTAGCTCAGCTATATTCTGTTTGAACAGAACACAGGTGAGCATTCTTGGGCTGCTGAGTGATGGATTTAGTACATCTTCCATGGAGATGAAAGAATTTCACTTTGATATCAAGATCTCATAATGTAAACCTCCAAATATGTGGAAAAAAATTAATGGGAAGAGCATATGTGAAAAGTAAATGTAGTATGAAAAATAGGCAGTCAATGATTCGAAATAAAAATGCTACATGTAGTTTTGTCCTTGTTAAAAGGAGAAGGAGTAAGGAGTTGATTTATGAACTGACATTGTTAATGGGTTAAAAGCATTTCAGCAGCATGGAAAAACAGCAGCATGTTACCAGCAAGCAATTCATGATTTCAGAGAACGATCATGAAGGCTAACATATTCCATGTTCTAAATTTTGCTTAAAACTCTTGTGATACTTTATTACTTACTTGCGAAATACTTGAGTTGTTTTTATTGTTTAAACTTTGCTGTTTCAATGTAAAGGTCTGTTGTGTCAGTGAAGGATTACCCATTGCATTAATATATGTAATAATTTGCTACAAAGATCATCATTAAGTGTGGAGTATAGCAGTAATTTACGTATAAAACTAAACTGTAAATCAAGTTGGTTTCATTTTTAATATCTGGGATTGTAGTTGTAATTATAGTCTCTCCAATATTTGTTCAGTTTAATAGGAAAGTATTTTTTAATGGTTCTGGATAAATATCTTTAAGGCTTTCAACAAAGATAGCATAGGATAATATTGGTATTACTATAACTTACCTTAAGCAGCTAGAACTAAAAATTATTAAGATTACTTATTAACAAAAGAATAATTAGAGTTACAGTGGCTTAGTTCTAACGGTTCTGCATGTTGACACAAATGTGTTCACAGATAACTTCTGGCTACGTAGTGTGAAATCTTAACCTCTGATTGCTAAGACAAAATACAAACTTGGTTTGTCATTTCTATCAATTTGTGGTTTATTTTTCTTTATTTCCCTGGGGTATAGACAGTTCTCTACGTATTTGAAGTGCTGTATCTCAGTGTCTCAGGATTCCTGGTGGAATGGGTGTTGCATAGTGGAAACAAATAAAAACAATTTAAAACTTGCAAGTGGAAAAATAGTTTTGGTCATTGTTTTAGGTTGGAAGAGTTTGACATATGATCATTAACGTGCAGTTGGTTTTTTTGGTTGGTTTTGTGTTTGGTTTTGGGGGGGGTGAGGGAAATGCTTTCCACTTTTTTTGAGCAATAATTGGCCGTTTGTGTTTGTCAGCAGTGCTGTAATGAAGGAGCAGCCTCTGCATTCTGAACGTCTTGCAGGCCAAATGGTGACTGGCAGCAGAACTTGCATCCTTGTGGGCTTTAGCAGCCTTTTACACCTTCATTATACATGTGGAGCCTATTTAAAGATGTTCAAGTCCTGTTACCTGTCAGCGTTTCCCTTCCTCTGAGAGTTTACACATGCCTAGCAGCATCCAACAGAAAAGAATCCAGCATCAACATTTAAAAGTTTTTTCCCAGAGTGAGGTTCTAGATTGTAAGGATTTCCCATGTGTTAGACATGTGAGAAGTTCAATGATCAGTTTGAGTTAGTTGACAAAGGATTGGGAAGTAACAGGAGACAGAAGCTGTAGTTTGGGCTGAGGTACTTACGCAGTATGGATGGGGATATCCAACTGGCTGGGCCACAGTGTTTTTCCCAAGTCTGTTCACAATGTGGACAGCAGAGATCATATAGCTCTGAATGAAAAAAAAAAATAAAAAAAAGTAAATACAGGCAGTGAGTGGAAAGCTGTGATGGTCATTGGGATGTGCCCATTCTTTCGAAAGGTAGTAGCTAGGCAAGGCTAGGTAGTCTTCTAAAAACCTGGGGGCAGATGGTCAGGAGGGAAGAGCAAAGGTGAAACTGGGTAGGATCAGGTCAGTTTTGCTTGTGTCTGGAATGCAAGGAAATACTTCTGGAAGAATAAATGCCATAGTTTATTATAGCTAACCGGGACATAGAATCATAGAATGGTTTGGATTGGAAGGGACCTCAAAGATCATCTAGTTCCAGCCTCCCTGCTGCGGGCAGGGACACCCTCCACTAGACCAGGTTGCCCAAAACCCCATCCAACCTGGCCTTGAACACTTCCAGGGATGGGGCATCCACAGCTTCTCTGGGCAACCTGTTTCAGTGCCTCACCACCCTCACAGTAAAGAATTGGTGGAGTATACGTAGTCTTGAGAAGAGAATAAGTAAGTCCTGGGGAGTCCCAAGCTATGCTGCAGAAAAGGTGATTGTGTTTTAAACAAAGAATTTTTGAGGTAGACCAGGTAAGCAGGGCTTTAATTTGGGACCACAGATAACTGTATACTTTCCTGTGTTGTCTTTGTAGTAGAAGTTTGTGGCTTTGGATTTGATAGAGTATTGCGCTGTCAACAGCCTAAATGTTCAGTTGGTTTAGGACGTCTATATTCAAAGGGGTCGGTAAATGTTGACAAAATACATAAAGGAGTGCCTAGGATCAGAAATATATTTGATGAGATATTAAGCACCTAAAACTAAGAGTTGCTCTTCTCAGAAAAGATGGCACTGAGAATTTGAACTTTTTTCTAATGCAGGTTTCTTTTTTGGTATATGAGGCCTTTTCTATGTAAGAACGGAGTTATTTTGTTGGGATTTCTTAATTTTTTACAGAACCTCCTTGGTTTTAGCATTTGATGTTCAAACCATAAGTTTAATCAACTGCCACTGCAGCTGAGTGCTTGTTTATTTCACAAATTAATTTTTACTGAGCTTTGACGAAAAAAAGAATGCGTTCACTTGAGAAGGATTTAAAGTCAGGTTTAGGTGCTTAATTGAAGCTACTTAAACTTAGAAAAATTGAGCTCCTACTTTGTTCTGGCTGTGAATGGAGGTCACCCATTCCGGAGGCCTTTGTAATGTAGATGTCAAAGACGATTGATGTTACTTGCCTGACAAAGGTGTTTGTTTTTTACAGGTGGGATTTCTAACTCATATGTTTCAGTAAAGTGTCTAGTGCTGGGATGGATTTGGGCTGTCAGTTGACCAGTTGTGAACATCTTGGCATATTTGCCAAGGATGTTGCCTGTGGGAAGGATGACAGCCAACTGTCTAATGTAGGAAGTTGTTACCTCTCTTGTCAAGTCCCAGATTTTTTAATAAATTTTCTAAAAATCTGTGAAACATGATAAGGATCCTAGAGGCAGTTAGCAAATTTACTTAATAAGCCCTCTTTCATCCTTAGACGCACATCTAATTGCTTACTGAGTTAAAGAAATGTTGGGGTAAGGGGCAGAGGTGAGACCTGCAGAGTATAGTGATCAGTTCTTTTCTAATTTTTCTCATACAACTCCATACTCTGCCCCAAATTACCTTTTCTTGATTTTTTTTTTTTTTTAAATGAGGTTCTTCAGATGATCTTATACTTCCAGTGCTTTTACCTTCCTTAATCACAAAGAACCAAAAGACTTCATTGTGTGGAACAGAACCAGCTCTTAACTGGCATCTAGCAATGATGCCTAGATCTTTGAAATCACTTTTACGAACCTCCATCACTTAAATAACCCCAGCTACCTGTAGTGCTCATAACCTCTTATCCTCTGTGTGGCTCAAGAGCAGAAGGAGCTCTGAGACTCTGGACTCCTGGGTCAGTTCAAACGGAGAACTGTCAATGGAAGCTACCAATGACCTAGGAAGAGACTTGAGACAATGTAGCTGCAAGGTTTAAGCGTGTTTACAGTGAGATTTGCTTGTTTCAGGCAAGTAGAAAAAATTTTCATTAAAACCTGTGGTGTCTGTTCCTGGCACCAAAGCAACTGCCAGATTTCTTTGCCAGATCTGAAACAAAATGGAAGTGTAGCTTGCTTTCTTTCATCTATGATAAAAGTAATTTTCCTGACTCTAGCCACTTGCACCTGGCAAGGTGAAGGAGAACAGCTGAAACAAATGAGACACTGAAGATTTCTGCCCAGTTAATTTAAATGTTTGTGTTTATAAAGAGTTAAAACTTATAATGGAATGTGTTAGGTAGTGCTAGCTCCAGGTAATAATGAAGTGTCAAAATTTTTGATGGAATTATGGTTTTCTAGAGATTTTTTTTTAGCAGTATTTACTCTGCAAAATATAGCTGTGAAGCAGTTCTTTTGTGTAGTTAAAATACTTTGTACTTCTTGCAATTGTCAGCTTATATATATATTCAGCAGCTTGCTAATAAACAAGTTTTGCTGTTAAGAATTCATTTTCTTTCATCTATGAAGCTCCTAGTGCTTTTAGCAGAGCAGTATTTCAGACTTTAAAGTCAGTTACATACTTTGTCTCTGAAAGGGGACTAGATCTCTTTACAGAGGAAGGGAAGTCTCATTTTATGTTGCACAGCTTGAAAATTATCCTTTCAGAAAGCAACTTACAGCTAATTTCCTGCAAGGGCAAAATGGTATTCTGTAAAAGATTCACAAGTACTTCCAACACCGTGTTAAAATGGGAAACTATACCCTGTCTTGTCTTTTTTAATGGTTATAAATGACATTGTACTTCATAAGTGTAGAATGCCTACCAATGTTATTGCAGCTTAACTGAGCAGCTGCAGACTTGGATCTGGTTAAATCACTTACATTCAACTTGTTATGGCAAAAGCTCTTGCAGCAACTTGAAAAATCATTACTCGTAATTGTGAAGACTTCAGCTGTTTGAATGCTAATTTATATAATACTGCTGTATCACTGATAGACTTTTTAATAAAAAATAACCTTTGAATCAGTATTCTGTCAGTATATCAGTATTTATGTCCTGCTAGAGGTAGAAAAAGGCATTGAATCTTACAATATATGAAATCGGAGTTTATATTTGATGTGTCTCTGAATAAATGTTCTGACAATTTTTAGAAAATTATAACAAAACCAGAACAGTCTCTTCAGTTTTGCCAGTTTGAGATAGCTTGAGGGTTAAACTTTCACTGCTAATATCAGGTATCTTATGTTTTTAACATAAGTATGTTCAAATGAAGCATTATGAATGCATCTCCTCTGAAGCATTACCAATTCACACTAAGATGATGATTGTTCTTAAATGAAGTTGTTTACAAAGTGTTTTACCTAATTTGCTCCTCTTCTTAGGTATTCGAACTTGATCTTGAACTTATTTTCCCTCATGGTGGATGCCAACATTCCAGATATTGCTCTTGAACCTGACAAGACTGTAAAAAAGGTAACTGGAGAGCTTTCCTTGTCTTTCAGTAACCTGTCATCATGTCAAGAAATTCGGTCACTGGTGGTGACTTACTTGTAACTGACTTGAAAATATTTGCTGCTATTTTGTAAGTTTTGAGCAATTTCTAGAATCATTGAAGTTGAAGATAGGAGAACATGCTTTTGAGATCACTTAGCACATGTGCCAGTAAATACAGAATTGCTCCTTATGGTCCATGCAGTAGTGCACACTCTGCTCTAGCTCTCTTTCCCAAGAGGTGTTTTAGCATTCTGCTAAGACCAGTGATCCCACCTTAGGAAATTTTTTGGTAAGTGACTATATCATGAAAGATTGTTCCATCTAGTCTAGAATCATGGATGGTTTTATAAAACCAGTCTGCTGAAGATTGAAAACCAGTAGACTGGTATATCTTCATCACCAAGAAATTTTTGTTTATTGTGAAAACAAACTTGTGTCCCATAATTCTAACTTTGTCCCTTTGCACCAGCCTGAATCATTCTTCTCCATTTGATGTTTCAGCAACAGTTGACATTAAGAATACTGGATAAATGTTCATCTAGACTTTATTACACTTACATTTTAGGCAAATGTTGGCTTTTAATAATTTGATTTATAAAAGGGCTATCTGTTTTCATTCCACAAAAGACTTTGTGGAGCCTGTGTATCCAATGGAAATCAGTTCAGTGTAATTTTTATTCGAGCAGTGGATTTTTTCTAAAATAGGCTGTTGTTCAGTGTTTTCAATAAGCTATGAAAGCGAAGGTTCAGAATCTTGAGTATTTCATCTTCTAATACAATTCCCTTGAAGAAAACTAAATTGACTCCAAACAAATCTTTCCTTTTGCCTGCAAGAATTTGAGCATTTCTGTTCAGAGTTTCTTGGTTTCAAATTGATACAAAGTGTTCATGTGGCTATTCAATTTCATTTCCCAGAAGGCTGGGCTAGCCAAAAGTGCTGTGTATTTGTAGTAAAGATGACAGCCCTCCCTCCCTTTGGTTGTTTTCCTGAGAAGCTGACAGCTAGTTCTTTTTCCATATCAATAGTTGAACCTGACCTCTGTCCGTAAATGCCATGTAGAGACTGAGTAGGTGTCGTGGTTTTACCCCAGCTGGCAGCTAAGCACCACGCAGCCACTTGTTCACTGCCCCCCGTTGGGATGGGGGAGAGAATTGGAAAAGTTAAAGTGAAAAAACTCGTGAGTTGAGATAAAGACAGTTTAATAGGTAAAGCAAAACCCGCGCGCACAAGAAAAGCAAGGAATTCATTCCCCACTTCCCATGTCAGGCAGGTGTTCAGCCATCTCCAGGACAGCAGGGCTCTGTCACTCGTAACGGTGACTTGGGAAGACAAACGTCATCACTCTGAACGCCGCCGCCCCCCCTCTCCCACTTCCCCCAAGCTCCTTATAAATTGAGCATGACATCATATGGTATGGAATATCCCTTTGGTCAGTTGGGGTCAGCTGTCCTGTCTGTGTCTCCTCCCAACTTCTTGTCCACCCCCAGCCATCCCGCTGGCGGGGCAGTGCAAGAAGCAGAAAAGGCCTTGGCTCAGTGTAAGCACTGCTCAACAATAGCTCCGTAGAACAAAAACATCTCTGTATTGTCAACACTGTTTCCAGCACAAATCCAAAACATAGCACAAATCCAAAACATAGTAGCTACTATGAAGAAAATTTACCCTCTCAGCTGAAACCAGGACAGTAGGTTACTCATATAGAACATGGGAGGATAGAGGCTTAAAGTAGAAAACCAAAACAGCTCAATACCTGACAAGTTTTGATGGAGAGACTACATCAGTGAACAAGGGAAGAGCTACGGATGCTGTCTATCTGGACTTCTGTAATGCCTTTGAAACAATCACAGAATGGTAGGGGTTGGAAGAGACCTCTGGAGATCTAGTCCAACCCCCCCTGCTAAGTCCAACCCACCTAGACCATGTTGCACAGGATCGTCTCTGGGCGGGTTTTTAATATCTCCAGAGAGGGAGATTCCACAACCTCTCTGGGCAGCCTGTTCCAGTGCTCGGTCAGCCTCAGAGTGAAGAAGTCACATTGCTGGCTCATGTCCCCCAAACATCCTTGTCTCTAAATTTGAGAGACAGATTTCATGGGTGGACTGTATGGTGAATGAGGAATCGGTTGGATGAGTGCATCCAGAGGGTAGTAGTCAATGGCTCAATGTGCAGATGGAGATCGGTGACAAGTGGTGTCCCTCAGGGGTCCGTATTGGAACCAGTACTGTTTAATATCTTCATCAGTGACATAGACAGTGAGATCAACTGTGCCCTCAGCAAGTTTGCTGATGACATCAAGCTGAGTGGTTGACACACTGGAGGGGCGGGATGCCATTCAGAGAGACCTGAACAAGCTTGAGAAGTGGACCCATGTGAACCTCATGAGGTTCAACAAGGCCAAGTGCAAGGTCCTGCACATGGGTCGGGGTACCCCTGGTATCAACATAGGCTGGGGGATGAATGGATTGAGAGCAGCCCTGAGGAGAAGGACGTGAGGATACTGGTGAATGAAAAGCTGGATGTGAGCCAGCAATGTGTGCTGAAAGCCAACCGTATCCTGGTACGCATGAAAAGAAATATTACCAGCAGGTTGAGGGGGGTGATTCTGCCCCTCTACTTCGCTCTCGTGAGACCCCATCTGAGTACTGTGTCCAGCTCTGGGGTCCCCAGTACAAGAAAGACATGGAGCTATTAGAGCAAGTCCAGAGGAGGCTGTGAAGATGATCAGAGGGCTGGAGCACCTCTCCTATGAAGACAGGCTGAGAAGAGTTGGGGTTGTTGAGCCTGGAGAAGAGAAGGCTCCGGGGAGACCTTATAGCAGCCTTCCAGTACCTGAAGAGGCTCACAAGAAAGCTGGACTGTTTTCAAGGGCATGGAGTGACAGGACAAGGGGTAAGAGCTTTAAGTTGATGGAGGGGAGATTTAGATTAGATATTAGGAAGAAATGTTTTATGATGAGGGTGGTAAAACACTGGAACAGGTTGCCCAGTGACGTGATAGGTGCCCCATCCCTGGCAACATTCAAGGTCAGGTTGGACAGGGCTTTGAGCAACCTGATCCAGTTGAAGATGTCCCCTCCCATGGCAGGGGGATTGGACTAGGTGACCATTAATGTCCCTTCGAACTCAAACGATTCTATGATAATATAGTTCTATGGTTCTAAGTTGCAGATGATGGGAGTAACTGCATTTTCATAGAGAGATGTTGTGGTTTAGCCCCAGCCGGCAGCTGAGCACCATATGGCCACTCGCTCACCCCTCCCCGGCGGGATGGGGAGGAGAATGGGCAGACAAAGGCAAAACCTTGTGGGTTGGGATAAGGGACAGATTACTGGGACAGCAAAGGGAGAGGGAAACAACAACAGTAGTATTTATAATGGAATATACACAACAGGGGATAACAGAAAGCAATTTCCTGATCCCACAACCAGCTGGACACTCAGCCCACACTCAGACCGTTCCAGAGCCACACTGACCCGATCTTCTCTGACTAGCCCCCCTTTTATGGTGGGCATGATGTCTCGTGGTATGGAATAGCCCCTTGGCCAGCTTGGCTCACCTGTCCTGGCTCCTTGTGAAAATGAATTCTATCCTAGCCACAACCAGGACAAGAAAGAGACCTTCTTTTGAAGGAAGAGACCTTCCTAACAGAAGGTTCTTTGTGAACAGAGAAAGACTTGCAGGTGATGTGATGGTTGGAGACAGTTTTGGGCATAGTGATCATGAAATGATGGAATTTTTGATTCTCAGAGAAGTAAGGAAGGGGGACAGCAGAACTGTCACCTTGGACTGCCAGAGGGCAGACTTTGGCCTGAGTCCCTTGGGAGGTAGTCCCGAGGGGCAGAAGACTCCAGGAAGGCTGGACATTTTTGAGGAAGGAAGTCTTAAAGGCAGAGGAGCAGGCCCTCCCCACGTGCTAAAAGACAGGCTGTTGGGGAAGAAGACTGGCCTGGCTGAACAGAGAGCTTTGGCTGGAACTTGAGGGGGAAAAAAAAAAAAAAAGAGAGCCTTTGGAAGAAGGGACAGGCAACTCAGGAGGACTACAAGGATGTCATGAGGTCATGCAGGGAGAAAAAGAGAAGGGCCAAAGCACAACTAGAACTTAATCTGGTTACTACTGTAAAAGACAATAAATAATGTTTCTATAAATACATTAGCAACAAAAAGAGGACTAAGGAGAATCTCTATCTGTAGTGGGTTGACCATGGCTGGGGGCCAGGTGCTCACCAGAGCCACTCTATCACTCCCCTCATTCACTAGACAGGGCAGAAAAAGTGTAACAAAAAGCTTATGGGTCGAGATAAGGACAGGGAGAGATCACTCACTAATTGTCATCACGAGCAAAACAGAGTGAGCTTAGAGAGAAATTCATCTAATTTATTACCAAGCAAAACAGAGTAGAGCAATGAGAAGTAAAACCAAATCTTAAAAGACCTCCCCCGACCCCTCCCTTCTTCCCAGGCTCAACTTCACTCCCCATTTCTCTCCCTCCTCCCCCCCAGCGGCACAGGGGGACGGGGAATGGGGGTTGTGGTCAGTTCATCACACGGTGTCTCTGCCGCTCCTTCCTCCTCAGAGTGAGGACTTGTCACACTCTGCCTCTGCTCCAACATAAAGTCCCTCTTACAGGAGACAGTCCTTCACGAACTTCTCCAACGTGAGTCTCTCCGACGGGGTGCAGACCTTCAGGAGCAGACTGCTCCAGCATGGGTCCCCCACGGGGTCACAAGTCCTGCCAGC